ACCAGGCTAAGAGGAGACCTGTTGCTGAGTAGCACCGTGTTGTCAATATCGGTTTAGGTACATGCATAGGACCCGGATTTGGCAGTAAAAGCAGCGGAGGGATTCACTTTCAATGACAACAATGGATGAAACCAGTCTGCTAAACTTTACACCCAACATCCTTAGCTCCCTCCCTCTCCTTCCAGGCCTGTTCTACCACTGACTCTTCCTGGATGCTAATCACATCCGTCGCAGATAACGTTGGCTCAAATCCTGGGGTCTTGAGTCCGGGCGGAAGTCTGATCTGTTGCGTGAATGAGAATCTGTGGTGGATGGAGTTACTCTAGGTTTACACGGGTGAAACTGACATTCGAATCCAGCCTTTACTCATGCGTGGCCTAAATCGGTCAAGTTTCGCTGGAGGGTGGAATCAATAGGACAGAAGGAAATGGCCGACAGTGTTAATATTGCTGTGCGCTCTGGATTTCGGCTATTGAGCTGGAACGAAAGCCTCTCCGAAAGCGGGGCTGAGATGTTCCAAAAGGACCGGTTTAGCCACCCAACTCCCATTCGTGTGAGTGGGAGTTGCGCGTCTGACTCCTTGGTTGGGAACATCCAATTGGTAAAGGGCTCCGCTCGTTTTCTGGTGCGCAGAAAATAGCTCCCATTTACTTGCGAGACTATGGAACGGATCCGGATCGGCCTGCAGTCCACCGGGAAGGCGGGGGAATGTTGTCCCGGTTCACACTGTGGGAACCCCACTGAAATGAGCGTACTATTCGTCCCTGGAGGTTTTGATATTGATTTGATTGGGAACAAGGACAAGCCCTGGAACAAATAGGGTTCAACCTTCTTTATTCATTTCGGACAAAATTGACTGATTTCAGTGGGAGGTTTGGCTGACTAGCACGTGAGCGACTGAGCTCCTCCTCTTCAGCTCCAAATTACCGCTAGATTCCGTTTTCATTGATATCCCTGACAAAACCCTCCCGATTTCCAATGTGAAGGGGATCGGGTCCATTATCGATCAATAATGGATCATGACTGGTCGATCATGTAGCTCGCAACTCTCAGACACTGGAGACCGTTTTTTTATTGATTATGTTTGCCTCTTTCATTTTAAGCTAACATTAATACTGAGAAGGGCGCTTAACAGGAGAGCTGTCGAAAACAACTCGGTTCTTAACTGCAAGAGCGTTTAAACAAATGATGCTTGAAATCCAGTCCCTAATTTACAGATTTGGGCCTAGAGAGCCTGCATGTAGCTTACTGCTGAGAAACTGTAATGCCTTTATACAACCAGGAGGGTTAAGGAAGTTTTCCTGCCTGTTTCAAATTTAAGCCGTACTTAACCTTATTTTAGCATGTTTTTATAGGTGATACAGATCTCTGGGAGATTCAGTCTAGAGTTTTTTGTTATTGTTTCACCTCCGAGCTAAATAATGTACTAGCGGGTGGAATAACTGAGGTGCTAGCTTGCCTTCCAGCATTTTACATTTGCTCAATCTTGCCCTAGCACTTTGCTTAGAACAAACTAGAAACGTTATATTGATGGATGCACGTCTCATGTACACTAAGGTCATAGCTTATCATGAGAATTTCTGATCAACTGAAAATCCTCTTTATTTGCTAATAATTAGTTTTATTGTATTGTAAAGCAGCCGAGCTAAAATATCTGCTGACTTTTTATATAACACTGTTTTGGAGCGGAGGGGGAAGTCCACCTTACTGAAAACTTTTGTAAAATGATCAAAACAACTTTCTTCGGGACCGATCCTGACTTCCCAGGCTGAGTAAAGATATACGGAATCGGGCCCCTAAAGAAAAAAAAGAAAAAAAATGTCGTTTTTTACATTCTTGCTAGCTTTCATGATAACCGAAATTTACTGTTCAAATATATTTGCAGAAGGAAAGTGTATGAATGACAACAAACCTCAAACACACTGAATATATGGCATATAGAGGTTTAAGAAAATGTCAAGTTGTGTAAATGTATTGTTCAGATCTAAATTTGTAATAACTTTGAATACAGAAATACAGTACTCAAATGCTTAAACCACATCTACATTTAAAGTCCAGAACTATAAAGTTTATGCCGAGAGACATATGAAGGTGTGTTTTTCATCATCCCTTCAAAAAAAAAATTTACAGCCATATGGATCACAGATCGTTCAACACATTTAAATAAATCCAGCTTATTAAAAAAAATGAAAACAGCAAGTCAAATTGCAGATTTGCAACAGAAAACTGAAAAAGTAAACGCCCTGAAATACTGGAGGATTTTTATATTCCTGATGTGAAAACACTCAGGGGCAGAACAATAAAATTTCATTAGTGTACAAACGCTGCAGCCTTATCCCTCTAAACGTCAGACTCTTTTGTATATAGGACAATAATTTAGCCCTAAAAGAATGAAACGGGAATGAGGTTTGATCAGGAACCTTTGTAAATATCTCCCGGTTTCCTAAAGTAAGTGCATGGCATCTGTAACTGGTTGGCTTTGATTGGTTGGTTTTGAAATATGTCCCGCTTAGTCTTCTAAGCCCGGGCTCCGTGTAGTGCATACCACAGCAGGCTCCTTTAACAGACGCAGTAGTGTTATTGGGAATACAGGGCAGACAGCCGTTTTAATAGGGGATTGTTGTAGCCACTTAAATTGGTGACTGGATTAATATTGCACCTTTCTGGAAAGATGCTGTCGCGTGGAGCCCTAGATCCACATAGCATGCCCGGTAGCATTGCTTTCTGCAGAAGTTCTCTCGGCTCTCACCATTTAAAAACAAAACTCAGTATCACCATTGAGATCAACAGCCCCAATTTAAACACAGTTCCAGTGCCTGTGCTGTTTATTGCACATTGCTCTTGCCAGTCACTCTCACCGGACCCGCTGTGACATTCCGCCACGTCTGCCAGGAAAACCCAGCGGGCAGGCTCCCAGGTGCAAAAGGTGGGTGGGAAGCATTCCGGTATTTTCAGCCCTAAGTCTACGCGCTGGTGGGTTCAGGACCTGATCCCTGAGACAGGACCTGTCGATAAGGGAGATGATGGTTTGGAAAGTACCTCCCGGGCGGCGTCCGGAGGATGGCTCGCAGTTTCCCGGGAGAGCCCTGCCACTTCAGATCCTGCGAAGGGACAGTTACCCTGGTGATGGGGAAGGGGCCATGGTGATCCGCCGGCAAGGTCCTAATTACAGAGAGATCCACGGAGCCGCCGCATGTACCGATCCATTTCCCGCCTCTGTATATACTGACCTAATTTCCATCCTGATGGAGTTTAGACTCTTGAAAGATCCTTTAGCTTAGCACTTTCATCCACTCTGCACATCTGATTTTCCTCAGATTCAAACACAGTTGGAATAGGCAGAGCAGACAGATTTTAGACCACGGAACAGTTAATATATCCCAGATTGAAAGTAAAGATAAACTAACTCCACAGCACTGTTTAGTGACTGACACTAGACATTTTACATTATTCTATAGATTCAAAATGACATCAACTGCAGTGTGATTTTTCTACTTATGACTTGCTTTAAGACAAGTTACTATCTTCTCCAAGGGGGGCTGGAGAATGTCTCTGCTTGTTTGATTCACTCAATGTGTGTCGGACATCTATATCTTCATACCAATAACGTATTTCTAAATTAGGGTTAAAATAATTAAAAATAATTTGGAAAGTTGAGTTAGTACTAGGATATTTGCTAGGCAGTCATCCCCCTTCTCCCCGGTTCTGGGGGTTCAGTCCACTCGTTATTAAGGTTACATACCACATTTTAGTGCTATGTAAAGCCCTGTAATCTGGACCTTTAGAACTAGAAAATTTGCCCCTCAGTAGTTCAAACAATAGCTCTAAAGAACATACATGACAACAGAACGTTAAAGTAGTCACACCATTACAGAATATTGATAGGGTTGTTTAAAACTGCCGTAAACACATGATCGGTCCGATAGCAAATCTTAATCTTCATTACACCTAAGAGATACTTTTTTTTCTAATGTAATGATATGAACTACTTTGTAACACCGTGATAGGCTAACAACCTGGATAGGCACACAGTTTCTTTGACTTGCTCGAAGAAACAACGAAGATAATTTTGGCCCCAGCTCTCAGGAGTTTTTGTTCCTAGGAAAAAAGACAAAACGAACCCTTCCCTACTACTCCGCACCTGAAGATGATTATTATTTAAGTTACAGCGGCCGGGTATTCAGTGTTTATACAAGGTTTCGTTTAATTCTTTTTTTTCCTGTTTAGCTTCAATTGCAATATATTATTTTAACGGGGACTTCATGTGTTGCTGCTTAGATTCACGCTCGCCCATTTTAATAATAATTCGGGTGACTCTCTAAATACCATCTTTCCTCGCCGTAGAAGACAACCGCAAAACCCTGCTCTTTAGAAAAAATCGTTTGCTCCCCCGAAGAACCACTGTCTCAAGGCATGACAGTAGGCACTATTTAAAATCTCGGGACAGTTTATCTCATTTCAAATGAAATTCCTCGAGGAGAGTTTTAAGTCTAAATCAGGTACGGTCCCAACCATAGCATTAAAAGCTCCTGTCCAGAAAGGTAAAAGAACAAAAACCTCTGGCAAGCTAATTAGCGTTAGTGTTGCTCCACCCCTTAATTTGCATATATGCAAAGCTAAATCCTCCGAGGCTTGCGTGTGTTCCCAGGAGGAAACTTTGCAAGCTAGGGAAAGCAGCGTTCCCCGTTTAATGAATGTTCATTTTAACTTAATTTGAGGGGAGTGTAACGGGGGGAGGGCACGGACCTGTTTTTATATGTTGAATTCTGGTCTGTGCTGCTGTCCCTGTCAAATGAAGGAGCCTCGCACCTTTCAGGCGGGACGTGAAGGTGACGCGCCGGGAGGGGGGAAAAAGAGGGGGAATTGTGGAGCCAGCGAGCAACCCGCTGAGTCCCCCCACACCCTGCAGTTTTATAACCTTGTAAGGAAGAAGGACCGGGCTCGAGATAATCCCCAATTTCTGATTGGCCCGCACGGGGCTTGATTGACACCACGCCCTGGCTCCGCCCAGTCCCAGTCACTTTATTGACACTAATGAGCGAGTTCTTTCCCACCGGTCTCCCGCTTGGAAGTGCTGACAGATCAAGGCAACAAATTTCAATTACCGGCCCTAATTTGTGTCCGCAGCGCGTTTGTTACCCATGTCAGTCCTGCCTGGCCCGTCAGACGGGGCAGAGCAGCAGCAGCAGCAGCAGGAGGAGGAGGAGGAGGGACGCAGGGAGCCCGCCAGCGGGACGAAGTTTAGACCAACTGGGCTGATCCCGCGGACTGGGAAGAAGGGCGCGGAGACCCCCCACGCCTGGGGCAGCGGGAGGGGGCGAGACCCCTGCAAGGCTGGGGCCTGTTGTGCGCCTATGAGCGGGGTCTAGGGCGCGCGGGCGCGGGGGCGCCGGGCATGGCCGAGAAGCGGCGGACCTCGCCCTGCAGCGCGATGAGTCTCAAGGCGCACGCCTTCTCGGTGGAGGCGCTGATCGGCGCCGAGAAGCAGCAGCACAAGCCGCCGAAGCGGCGCAAGTTGGGAGCGGAGGAGGAGGCGGCGGCGGAGGAGGAGGAAGAAGGGGGCAGCGGCTGCGGAAAGGGCTCCGGCGAAGGCGCCGAGAGCTCCCCGTTGCAGCCCCACGCCGGGGCCGCGTCGGCGCCTGGCAGGAGCTGCGGCGAGATGGAGCTGAGCTGCGGTGCCCGGGGACCCGCCGGTGAGTCTCCTCCCCGCTCGCATCCTGTCACTGAACCCGGGCCCGGTCAAATCTGCCCACCCCGCCCTAACTGTCAAAGCAGCCGCTCGCCCCACGCATCAGTCGGGCCGGTGGATCTTCCCCAGGCATGCCGAGAAAGGGAGGGGGCGTATTCTACTCCGAATCCGGGTTGGCTCATTTTTGCTCGGTGTAAACCCTCCTGCGCCTGATCAGTCACTCCTGGCTCTTCCCTGTTTTGGGAGGCTCACTCTTCTTGACAGACCCCGGGCTTTTCAAGTTTCTTTCCTCTCTCCTCCTCTCCTTTGAACCCTGCTTGGCTCCGGATCCAACACTTTCCTTCTCCCCCACCCCGATTATTCCCCCCCCCCCTTAACACCGTGGGGAAAAGTCTCTCCCGCCAGTGAGCTGCTAGTAAAATATCTGTCAGAGCGGAGATGTGTTAATTAAACTTCTCCAGGCATCGGTTCCTGGGAAACCAAGCGCCTGGGGCGGAGCGATCATGTTCATGTAAAAGTTCCTTGCCCTGGGATTTTTTTTTACAGCTGCATTTCAAGTTAACACCCTCACCCCACAACTTAGACATAAATGAGCCGCCGCGAGGAGCAACGGTGGTTCGTGACAGTTAAAAACCCCGGTGCCTTAATATGTCAGAGCCAGGCAGCTCTGCAGAGGTCAAATCACATGTCTTCGTGTCCAAGGAAATCTGCAGCAAAGCTAATGCATGTCCCGCACGCCGGCAAAAAGCAGAGCAAGTGGCCTGACTCGGCTGCCCCAGTGTTGCATGTTTGCGCCTAGCCCTGAGGGGGGGCCCGGCACTGGAAGGGGCATGTTTGCTGTGTAAGCCACCCGACCCGTGCAGTGTCAGCTTTGAACTTCAGGGCCCAACTCGGCACCCCGCGCGGGGACACCCGAGCACAGGGCCCAGCTATAGAAGCGCCAGGGCCCAGTGCGCTCTGATCGCAATGCGTGTAAACGCGGGGTCTGGAGAGAGCGGGCGCGTTGAGGAGGCCCCGGAGCTGTTCCAGGCCTCACGCTGGCTCGCCCTTAGCTGCGGTGGGTGGTGCGGGGAGATTCTTGACTTGCTCTTTTCCTCGGTTGTTTCTGAGGAAGGGGCTGGATCCAGCAGCCCTTTCCCCGGGTGTTTTCCGCCCCCAAACCCTGGGCTGTGGAGATCCTGGCCCCGCTGCTCTCTGCCTGACACGCTCTCCTGCTTCCCTTCTTCCCGGCTCTCATTCCAGGCAGCTGCGAAGGGAGTTTCCTAGGAGGGTCCCCGCCAGTGTCACCCGGCGGCTCCCCCAAGGGGGCTAGGGCCGGTTCCCCTCCACCAGCCCAGCAAGCGCCCCGGGTAGATCTGCAGGGAGCCGAGCTGTGGAAGCGCTTCCATGAGATCGGTACCGAGATGATCATCACCAAGGCAGGAAGGTAAAAAGGCGCAGCGCGCACTCATCCTGGTCCCCGCCTCCGCCCCCCGGGGCACATCCACTGGGCAAAGGTAGACAGCCAGCGCCCAGGTTCCGCACCTTTGCTGGGAGCAGCAGGGCGGCGCAGGGACAGAGAAATTGCTTAGAAGTAATCGCACTCGGACTGCACAACCACGCAAAAATCACATCGCGATGGGCAATGTGAAGAGTTCGGGCCCATCTTCCCGCAGGCAGCGGTTTCGGGTAGTATGTTAGTTATTTCCACCGCACACTCGTAAATCCAACCAATGGAAACATTTTTAGTCTCTGGACCACTTTAATTTGTTGGTGCCCTTGTTTTTTGGAGCTAGGGAAAGCTGGAGTTTCTAGGAGGTTAAGATGATTACAGTTCATTCAGAAGACAATAATGAAGGAAAATCAGACTGAATACAGGAGACAGGATATCCTAATTGTCTTCCTGATTTATGCTGTGTCCTCCTTCAGGTGGATAAACACATTGTCCCCTGTTTCAGTCATGTTAATCAAATACAAAATCTGTTGTTACAGAAGCCAGATTTGTATGCTGTTTAGGACAGCTAATTTATAATAACCGTACAGATGGCACACACAGTATAAAATCTGCAAATACATCAAAGTGGATAAAGCAAATTGATTTATGAGCTAGGTAGATCACAATAATTTTAGATGGGCACAGGAGCATGTGCAGTTTTAGGTTTCCTGTTCATTAGGATGAAGTCTATGAATGTTGTATTCTTTTAAAATAACCCCCCCCCCCCCATTTCCAGTGGATACACATGGCAAAAACCTGGCTAGTATAAAAATATCTGAACTTATTAGAAATTACAAAAACATATTTGATTGAATCCATATGCTACCTTCTCCATTTTCAGTGAGACTTTATTAATGATCAAAATGCAGTCTTAACCAGCACAAAGCAACATTTGTCTTGAAAGTCCAGTCAAAGATTTTTCTTTTTTTAATCTTACAGGTGCACTAAAATATTAGTAAAAACCAGTTAGCCAAGACAGTTTCACCCTGCTGCTTATTAAGAAATTCTAGAAATAACATATTTTTTCCTTCTACAAATAACTTTTAATTTTGCTAATTGTTTTAGAGCAGCTGAAAATGTGGAATTTAACTTGGATGGCATCTGGATTTACATAAGACAAAAATCTTTTATTAGTATGTAATCAACTAGTCATTTTAAATATTCTTAGTTTTGCTTTCGATAATGAATTTTCTATATAAAAGGCAAGTGTCAAACATACATTGAATTGAGACATGATTTTTTAAATCTAAATCTCCACATTGGTTAATTATTCCATTTTTGGCCACCAAATGATCTAAATTACAAACTTATCTATAAATATACTTTTGTACTTGGTCTCTGCTTTCAGTAAAGACGTTTACTGTCCCTTTCAATCATAAAGCAACTCACGCCCTTCACCTGTAGTATGTGGCAGACCAGAAGACCCTTCTGAATAAGAAATATATTATTTGGTTATAGCATGGCACATTGGGTTTTAAATTATATCACCATGTTTTATGATATAATTTGCTGATATAGGTGACACACCCTTTGCAGCTGTCAGCTAGAACTCAGCTGACTATTTCAATTTCTGCAGGTTGTGATCTTGCTTGATAAGAGAGGCTACTTGCGCATCTCATGTAATATATGTCTACTAAATGTGCAGCAGGGTTTAAATGCATATGTTGCTAAAATAAAAGCTTTAGAAAAAAATTACTTTCTAACAATACAGTTGAACTGAAGTGGTGATGTCTGTGCTCTCATAATGTATCATAAAACATATGAAGCATTGGTCAGATAATATGCACTTTAAAAAACTGTTGCTCCCTATGAAATGAACAATTGCATGGCTGTGTGGCATACTGATAAAAAACCCAAAACTCTACCGACTTTTCTGTATTAGGGAGAGAGGAGGGTACCCACAAACTGGTTGCTTTTGCTGTACAGACTGTTTCCGAGTCTGTTTTGTATTAAAATTGCTTCCCTTTTTTCTATGTTCAGGCGGATGTTCCCTGCAATGAGAGTGAAGATCTCAGGCTTAGACCCACATCAGCAATATTACATTGCCATGGACATTGTGCCAGTGGATAACAAAAGATACAGGTATAGTAATTGTAAAACACAAAATTTGGGATGCAAAT